CTGTATTGTCCAAATGCTTCTTGAAGTCTGTCAGGCTTGGTGCTGTGACCACTTCCCTGGGGAGCCTGTTCCAGTGCTCAACCACCCTCTAGGTAAAGAGCCTTTTCCTAATATCTAGCCTAAACCTCCTCTGACACAGCTTTATGTTCCCTTGGGTCCTGTTGCTGGTCACCAGAGAGAAGAGATCAGTGTCTGCCCCTCCTCTTCCTCTTATGAGGAATTTTTAGACTGCAATGAGGTCTCTTCTCCAGGCTGAACAAACCAAGCGACCTCAGCCACTCCTCGTACTTCACTCAGCCACTCCACTTCCCCTCTGTGCTATGCATGATCCTTTTGGCACTCTCTAATAGCTTTATGTCCTTCTTATATCATGTTGCTCAATGTATGGTCATACTAGTGTAGAGCAGAGTAGGACAATCACCTTCCTTGACTGGCTGGCAATGCCAGCCTGATGCCCCCCCAGACATGGTTGGCTCTCCTGACTGCCAGGGCATTACTGACTCATATTCAACTTGCCGTGAACTAGGAACACTCAGGTCCCTTTCCGTGGCGCTGCTTTCCAGCATCATAGATTCATAAAATCATAGAATCAGCTGGGTTGGAAAAGACCTCTGAAATCATAAAGTCTGACCCTTCGTTCACTACCACCGAGCTTACTAGACCATAGCACTAAGTGCCACGTTAAGAACGATCTTAAAAACCTCCAGGGATGGAGAATTCACCACTTCCCTGGGCAACCCATTCCAATGCCTCATTACCCTCTCTGTAAAGAATTTCTTCCTAATATCTGACCTAAACCTCCCCTGGCACGGCTTAAGACCATGACCTCTTGTCTTGCTGATAGTTGCCTGGGAGAAGAGACCGTCATCCACCTGGCTACAACCCCCTGTCAGGGAGTTGTAGAAGGTGATGAGGTCTCCCCTGAGCCCCCTCTTCTCCAGGTTAAACAACCCCAGTTCCCTCAGCCTCTCCTCATAGGACTTGTGCTCCAGTACCACTACCAGCCTTGTTGCTCTTCTCTGGACCTGCTCCAGCACCTCAATATCCTTCCTGAACTGAGGGGCCCAGAGCTGGACACAGTACTTCAGGTGTGGCCTCACCAGCGCTCAGTACAGGGGAAGAATCACTTCCCTTGTCCTGCTGGCCACACTGTTCCTGATACAGACCAGGATGCCATTGGCCTTCTTGGCCACCTGGGCACACTGCCCGCTCATGTTCAGCTTCCTGTCAATCCAAACTCCCAGGTCCTTTTCTGCCTGGTTGTTCTCCAGTCACTCTGTGCCCAGCCTGTAGTGCTGCAGGGGGTTGTTGTAGACAAAGTGGAGGACCTGGCACTTGGCCTTGCTGAACCTCATCCCGTTGGAATCAGTCCAACTCTCCAGCCTGTCCAGGTACCTCTGCAGAGCCCTCCTTCCTTCCAGCTGGTCGACACCCCCCCCAACTTAGTGTCGTGTGCAAATTTGCTGATGGTGGACTCAATCCCCTCATCTAAATCATTGATAAAGATATTAAACATCTCATTACCCAGTCTGTTCATACATCAAGGTATGTGGGTCCAGGTATGGCCCCTTCCCAAGTGCAGAATCTGGCACGTGCCCTTGTTAAAATTCATATGACTCATATGATTAATCAGCCCTCTACTTTTTCTAGATCTCTCTGCAGGGTCTCTCTGCTTTCAAGGGATTCAACAGGTCCTCCCAATTTAGTATCATCGAGTCCTGCATCCCAGCCATTTATGAAGATGTTGAAGAGCACCAGCCCTAAGATGGAGCCCAGCAGAATCCCACTGGTGGTCAGTCACCAGACTGATGTAACACCATTTACTGTAACTCTTTGCACTCAACCCATGAACCAATTGCTCATACATCACATGTGTTTCATATCTCAAATGCTTTACAGAATGTTTAGAAAAATCTGCAGCTGGATATAAATATTTTTACAACTCACAGAATTATGAATTTTAATTTTCCAAAATTAAAAAATATCCTCAAATTAAAGCACTGGAATTTATTTTTCTTTGAAAAAAAAAAGTTTTCTTTTTTTTTACTTACAGAATTGAATGTCAAAAAGTTATAAAAGTAAAATCTTGGGTCCACTAAAATTACTGACAATTGTTGCACTCATTTCTCTGGGACAGTTATTCCCTGATAGATAGTACTCTATATTTTGGTTGAATTTCTCAAAGAAAAACTCTGTTTACTTAAGGCAATACTCAGAACACTAAAACCATCTAAGGAAATTATTTTACCAAAGTTCTTTTAAATGTTGTAAAATCTGTGTAAATGCAAAGTTTTGTTGGAATCCCTTAACACACAGGAGTACCTAGGTGGCTCTGTACAAGGCTGAAGAATGATTGCATGTGAACCAAAGACATTAATAGTTCTGAACAAATATTCCAAGAATTTCAGATATATACTAACAATACTGCTTTATGACAGCATACAGTTTCACTAGAATTAGGCTAGAGTTAGTTTAAACTAGAGCTAGTATAAAACTGCATTCCAACTAAATTATAAGCAAAAATATCAGTTTTAAAAAAGTTTTAAACATTTGCTTTTTAGAATCTCTCATTTAATTTGTTATAAAGTTCTGCATTTTACAAGCCCTTTAATTTTATTCACAAAAGTGGTAGAACAGCCATCTCAGTCTCACATCAGTATTACACAGCAGGGCCCTAAATAAGTTAATTAATTTGCAATTAGTAATGTCTCACTTCAAGCTGAGGTCTTACCGAATTGGTTCTTGAAGCTATACAAGTCCCACATACAGTAGCAGTAACCGTATGTTAAATGTAACAGTAATAAAATAGTGGACCTGTTGGAATGCTAATTACTCCTAGGAGTCTCATTTAGAACAAAACTCAGTATTAACTCAGTATTTTGGACTGTATTGTGTCCTTATCAGAGCAGGCTGGGGAAAGAAAAAGAAAAGATGATTTTGCTTTTTAAATTTATGCAAGTTAGAAAAATAATGGACTTGGAAAGCCAGCTCTCTTTCCTTAGTGCTGGACAGATGAGAAAGCTGAGAAAAATGAAAATATGAATTTCCTCTTGTTTCTCCTCACAGGTTAGTGTTATTGCCACTGATAAATTTTCATGCAAGACAGGGTCTCCCAAAACTCTAAGAATTCAAGCCAGGAAAAACAAATGGAAATGTAGTAACAGATCATTTTGTTGTTGTTGTTGTTTTGTTTTCTGTAGATTTTTTGGAACCCAAAAATTGCATGCCACGTGGAGTAGAATTTGGTTAAAAAATAGAAACCATTCTTAAATTTCCAAAGAGGTTCTAAATAGAGGCCTAGAACACAGGATGTAAAGCAGGATAAGACATCTTTTGGGCTTTTTTTTTTTTAATATTATGAAAGACTAATTAGAGAGGAACTAAGTCATCTAGAAAGAAAGTAATTTATTTTGAAGAAAATCTCTACATGTGCCATATCATTCACTGTGGAATGTAAAAGCTCTGGTTTATGTTTATTAGGATATAAATATTTTGTGACTTAGCCCTCTTGTATGCAACCAGCAAAAATGATTATAGCAGTTTGAATGACTGGAGCAAAATGGGATTTCAACAAATGTGAAAAAAAAAAAAGTCAAGAGTTCAGAATTTCTCTTAATTATTATCATAAATCCAGCATGAAGAGGAAAGAACAAATCTGAAACACCAGGAAGAGGAAGGGAGTGTGACTTTATCAAGAGAGGATGCATCTTAATGAAAAATCAATATAATTGTTGCGTCTCAATGAAGTTTTTGCATTTTCCTTTTGCTTTCAGAAACCTTCAAACTATCATAAAATAGATAATGAGAACAGGCAAGCTAAGAGACTTTTCTACCCTTCTTATTATCTAAATTTTAGCTTATGTATTTTACATCTGTTAAGCCAGGTTGGTTTGTTCAGTGAAGCCACTTTGTTTAGAAATCTGCATCTTTTATTTCCTGTATTTTTGTTGTACCATGTCTTTTTTTCAAAGTGTATTTGCTTTTGCTAATAGAATGCCATGACCTTCACTGATTCATTTAAGAGATGGTTGTTTGTTTTCTTTGAAAAGAATATCTTGAGCTTCTTGAATACAGTAAATAAAATAGTAGTAGATCATATTGTTTAATGCTGATGAATATGGAAATACATTGCAGCACTGGCATAGCAGTAGACGCACAGCCCCTCCCAGCTGGCAGAAGTTGCCTAGCAAAGATGTTTAGAACTCTCTGAAGGGTACTGAACATAAAGGTAAAGCCATGGAAATGCCCTTGGACACAAAAATGACTGGACTCTTAGAAGCCTCTTTTGGTTCAAGACAAGTTTTGAGTGGTGCAGCTTAGCTGATGTACAGCTTGTGTGAGCTGTATACTTCCATCTTTAACTCTGAATGTCTGCCCATGTGTATCTCAGCACAACAACAATAGCCCACTGCACAGGAGCTTTATTAGTGGTTTGCTTTTCTTGCAAAGGATGACTTCACAAACTTTCACTAGGGAAAAAGAAATGGATGGCAGAAAGCAGCAAGAGCAAGGTGGCTTCCTGGGGGCCAGGGCACCAGAATCAGACCCAGCCCCAGGCACTGGGCACCTCCCTTGGAATTGGAATGGTCCAAGGTGTGCTGGGGCATGGGTGGGCCCATGGCCAGGTGTGGTAGGATGGTGGGGAGCTGGAAATCAGCCCAGCTGGGATCTTACTGTGGCAGGAGCTGCCCGCCCCAGGGAGCTGCAATGGAGCGCTGGGTTGTGGGTAGGGTGGGAAGAGGGCTGGGCTGTGGGCACAGACAGACAGGGCTACAACAATGGAGAACACACTTTATGATGGTAAAATAATGGGAAACAAACAACATGTTACAGATACTGAAATACCACTAAAAAGGCAGTGCTATAGAATGGGATAAATGCAATGATGCAATTTGACAGGCATTTGAGATAAACCTTCATCAGACTTCTTGGTTGAAGGCATTTGGCATCACTTTTGTTTTGCCTACAGCAGTCTTCCTGATACATCCTTGTTTCATTTTAGTGTCTTGCTCTCCAGGTATTGTTTTCAGACTTGAACTATAAGGAAACCAAGGTTAAAAAAACCCCCATATTAAAATCTATAAAATTTCTGGTACGCAGGTGTAGAAACTGACATTGGATAGATTTTCTGAGGCCATATGTATCTTTAAGCCTTACTTCCTAGTTTCTCCGGAACTCCTTCCCCAAACCAGAAAAATCACAAAAGATCCTTTTTGCTGTCAAATTTCTATAGAGAACATCCAGTGAAGTGTAAAGCCCCCAACTAACACAGTAACTCATACAAACTGAGTTGCAGTCCCAGAGAAAGGAGGATACTTCAAAGACGGGTGGAAAAGAGCTGAGCCAGTTGGAAAGAAGATGTACACCACACTTTGCCAAATTATCCATATTGTACACATATAAAATATACAATCTATCAAATGCACAAACAAGTATATTAGCAGCATAAAACTATTTTGATATCTGTTTTCATGCCCAGAGTATTGCAAATAGACTGACAATATAAAGAAAATATCCAGGCACAATTACTGATGGAGGTGTTAACATTTACAGACAAAACTACATGGTGTGCAATAACTACTGTTACCTCGTGTTCAGAAAAGAGAAGTTATCTGAACTTGACTGCAAACATAAAATCTTATGCTTATAGTAATTATAAATATTTGACATATGGGGTATTGTTTTATTCTATGGCTTTTAAATTCCCAGCAGTAATTTCCACAATCTCAGTCTCAATAATTAGAGTCTTAGTTTTCAGTGATACTAGCAAGCTATAACTAATATTTGACAATTTTCCTGTGTTGGTCTATTTACCTGAAAGAAAAGAGTCACAAATATTCTTTAAAAATCTGAGTCTAACTTGCTCAAGATTGCAGAAGTTCAAGTGTTCAGAACCTTCAAACCCTGTTCCCTAAAGATTTCTTTCTGTTTCAGATTAAAGAAAATGCATAACAGATTAATGTAGGAATCTTTGCTGAAATTCCGGAAATGTCACTAAATGAGATTGCATTTGTTTCTCTGCATTTAAGGTAGAACATTAACATTTTAATCTGGGATATTAATTTTTTGGTTAGGCTATCTCTGACCTTCACTTTGAAACAGTTTTATTTATAAATAGTCCTGTGTTTTAATGAACAATATGATATGAGTTTCTGCATCTAGAAACAAACATTGTATTACCCTTCCTAGCTTTTTTTTCCCCTTCAAATATTTGATATTCCATTTGTAAAGCAGGGAAAAAAAGAGTCAACTTCAGTTTTGAGTTCAGCCACAGTTTGTTTATGTGTATTAATCTACTGGTTAAAAATATAGAGAAATTGGCTGCAGCTTGACAAAGCAGTTACTTCTGATTCAGTCTCCCTGAATGATCTCATTTTGGGGTTTTTTTCACCTAATGGAGTTCTGACCTCACTGACTTTATTTTCACTTTACATGGTGCCTTTTATGTATTGCACTGAAAGAACTTTCTGAACTTTCCCTTCTTCAAGCAAAATACTTCATGACGATATGGAGAAGTTGGACCAATAGAGAACCACAGAGTTGACTTATTTGTGGAGAATTTCGTATCAAAGATAAATATATTTTACTTTCTGCATGGACAGATAGACTGAGTCTGAAAAAAAGTGGTAGGTCTAGCCGTTTCAGGTGAAATTATTCCTGGAAGAGAACAATTTCACCTGAAACGGCTGGAAGAGAATAGGGGCCTCTGGTGGTCTAGTGGTTAGGGTGCAGGACTCTCACGCTGCGACCCGGGTTCGATTCCCAGCCCCCCGGGCAGATGGAGCTCGTCAGCCCTGTGAGGCAATCCATCTAAGAGAAGGTCACTCTAAACAAACCTACGTTCTGAGGACCTCACTGCCACTGTCCAAGCGTGCTCTGCCCCGGCAGATGAACCTCAGGATTAAAGGGTGGGCTCAGTTCAGCGCACGCTGGGTCTCACCTAAAAAATCCACTGCGCAGGCTCGAAGGGTTAATGACCTTTCCCAAATCTTCGCTCGCGAAGACTGGCCATTATTCCTGGAAGAGAATAGCTCTTTTGTACAACTAAACTTTTCAGCTGGAAAGTTGAAATAGTCATTTCACGTTTGCTTTCCAGAGATCAATTTCCATCTTAAACATACGACAACAAGGGCTGGAGGTCAAGTTGAGTACTAACCCCTTGGACCCTCCAGTACCTGGCTTCATCCTGATGCCAAACTCTAAAAAGTACAGGGACCTAAGGCACTCATCTCTTTCATTTACTACTCAGCATGAGACTTAGTGTAAGAAGTGGTTAATGGCTGAACTCCTCAGCATTCATCTTCCTGGTCTCTACTTCCTTTAAGTGGTAAAGTAAAACTGAAAGAAATATTCCTGACAAGCAACCAACAACTTAAAGAATTCTATTTCGGATATGGAAGGGGTTTAAGTACAGTTTTTCCCCTGGAAAGTTTTATATTTCTGACAGTTTTTAGTGAGAGGAAATTTCTGTTATTCGGAAGGTCCTAACTTTTCTGAGTTTTATGAAAAGCAGGTACAATTAGAGAAGTTAACCTACCTTGAAACTAAAGTAATTCACAGTAGCTACTGGAACTACTTCTTCACCTACTGCTTGCATGTTGTTTTTCTACATCTCTACACAAACAAGGACAAACTGAGAATTTTTTTTATAACACCTAATTATGACACTTACTTTACAACCTTATGTATTTACTTTTAATCTCAGAAATTTATTCTATTGATTTTGAATTTTAAAGACTTCTTATCACAACTCATAAAATTCAGTTTTAAAGTGTTCTTAATTTCTGGAATTTCATAATTAAATAACCCTGCCTTCAGTTGCTGTGCTGTCAACTGTATCCTGTTCACCTATAGAAATACAATATTTTCATTTATTTTAACAGAAGTTTTGACTGAAGAAAAGCCAAAGAGTATTCAAAGATACCTGAAATTTCAACTTTAATCTAGAAATATCTTTTTAAGCTTTTCTCAAGCATCTGAGACACCATCAACTGTTATATTTACTTCAGTATTGAGACTTTTACTATAAATCTAAAACTTATTTTTTTCTAACCCTATGAGAAAGACTTAAATCTGAAAAAAAAATTTAAACCATCTCTTTCTCATTTTATTTGAGTTACTTTTTCCCATTTAAAATCTCTAGTAAGACACGAAAGCCAACGTGCTTATGAATTTAAAAGTATGTATTTTGCTTTCTATGGTATGTTCATCAGCAAACCAGTGTTTTTTAGTCCATAGTATTTTTACCTTAATGAAGTTCAGTTTTCAGAAAGAAAAAGAAAACAGCAAAAATTGATAGTCATCTTTCAGATATAATCTGAATAACAAAGTGACCATGATACTGCTTAGACAAAGTTAGCATTCATTCAAGAACAACAGTGCTTGACAGATAACACATTTGGACAGAAAGCCACTCAGTCATGCCTCAGAGAAAAGCATAAATATCACAAATGTGGTATGTATACTCACAGTCCTAAATAAATCTATAGAAAAATCTTGTATCTTTCTATGAATGAACAACTGGATAGTTTTAATATGGTATTGAGGAATCTGGCATTGTTTTTGTATGGCTTTGGTTTTGTCCTTTTAGATCTCTTACTAGTCATCGTAATTTCAGTAGTACTTCTGAAGTTCTTTTATAAGAATTAATATTCAGAAAAAATAGAATGTATTACTACATGTATGAAATTGTTTCTAAAAGAGTTGTGTCATAATGTCTTATCTAATGGCTAAAAAATTTTTTATTATGTTACAGAAAGTAACCCAAGTAAATCACTCTCTTAATTCAGGATTATCAATTCTTCTGAAGTAAAGAAAAACTACTCCCCATTCTGAGGTAATTCTCTGTCCTCATTTTATCTTTTCAATATATAGAATTTCTCTAGTTCATGAGAATTTATTTTTCACCTATAGTATGAAGAATTAAATTGAACATTTTCCTGTCTTCTCTTTGCGTATAAATGAAAATATACTGTGATGACAACCTATGACAGAACAGTCTTAACTAAAGGATCTTTAAAAAAATACTATGAGAAATATTCTTAAATTTTTCCTAACTCTGCAGAAATCTTGATTCCTCTGACAATGAAAAAAGTTTCCTCCTCTTTCTTGCTATTAAAAATCAAAAGAAGTAGCTGAAGGACCAACTTTTCTTTCCTCAGCTTGGCTTGACAGAAACTATCTTGCCAAGCTTTCCTATGCTAAGGCACTAAAGTGTGCACAGAGCAAGGTTATACAAAGTGTTGTTTAAAATATTAAATAAAAAAAAAACAAACCAAAAAAAAACCAAAAAACCCCAAAAAACCAAAGCATAAAACAAAATAAAAAACAAACAACAAACCAACAAACAAAACAACAAAATATCACATTATTTAGGTGTCCTAGTTAGGAGAGCTGAGACCAGTTCATTACTGGATGGGTGTAACCCAAAACTGTGTATTCTATAGCCTTCCATGCCATTTCCCAGAAACTGTTATCAATGAACCATTTACACTATCTGCACATAGAGCCTGACTCCTCAGGCTATAAACTAGGTGCTAAGAGGCCTGTGAGATAGGAGTTGCTCTTGTCCTCACACCCATTGAGGAACCACCCCCCCCCACCTCCCTGAGGGAGGTACTGAGCATTCCTGCCTGAACTGGAGGATATATAATCTTGGAGTCTTGGGACCTTTTTAACCTCTCGTGGGATCCAGAGGAAGACTGCAGATCACCACTCCCAACCAGATTGCAACCACCACTTTTCAACCAGACTGCAACCATCTCGACCAGACTGCAATCACCACTCTTGACCAGACTGCAACAGCACTCTCACCAACAGGTTTTCCCCTCTCCTTTTCTTTTGGATTCAGGGGGCCCAAAGAACACCACTCTGTTCATGCCCCAGGGTGCTGGGTTATATATTTGGGTTTTGTGGGTTAAACCCAATTGTTTGTTTGTATAATCGTACTTATTGTATTATTTTATTAAATTGTTAATCTGACTTATAATCTCTCTTTGGAGTTGAGTTCATTTCCCCTGCTGGTTTACCTTTAAACCAGCACATTAGGTCATTAAAAGACTGAAATAACTGGTGATTTAACTGATGAGAAAAAATGTTGAAGCAGTCACACTCAGAAACAAATGGCCCTTTAACTAAGGCATCAAATCTTGAATAGCTCAAAAGAATGTCAAGGTGAGCCATTTGCCTAGGAGTGCATCCTATAATACATGAAGATATTGCATCTTTCCATAGAACAAATCAAATCAGATACTTCTCAAAGTTCAATAGTCATTAGTGCCAGGAACACTGGTATTATTCAATCCTACTGAAGTGTTTAGTGACAATGATAAAATACCAGCAGGCAGCAAGGGTTCACAATAGTACTTCTACCTTTTCAGGAGTACTCACTACTGTTCTGTATTTGCTGCTATTTGACAATGAACTGTGAGGTTTAGATCTCAAACAAAGGAAAAGATAGTTTCAAAATCACAAGAAAATATACAAAGGAAGGATTAACTGTAGACAGTGTAGTGGCTTACAGTTTCAAGAATACAGCTGGGAAAAATTAAAGAGTACAATGTTATGTACAGCTGATATGATGTATCAGTAAAGGAAACTGAGAATAATTCCGTGGGAGGGTAATATATTTCACCGGATATGACAGTACATAGAAAGCATGTCTTGGTCTCCATTTGAGGATGGAAGTAAAGTTGCATTTTCTTCAAAGCTGAACAGATTCCTTTTCCAGCTGTTCAAAAGGAAAGATTACATAAACCACCGAACAGAGACTGGATAAGTTTACATTTTTGTTATGTTATAGAAATATAACAGTAAAAATTTGTAGTTTCTTTCTTTACAATATCTTTCATGAATTGGGGACCAAAGTCATCAAACCTTTTTTATCTATAAAAATATTTTTTCAGCTTATTCCTTTTTTCTGGTTTTGATCATGCTAAGAATATTGCACCTGTATCCTGGAGGCTTTAGAACATCCTTGCAGAATTCAGAGTGAGATTCAGTCTCCTTTATGAAAAATTATTCAATTTCCCAACTAAGGATATTCAGAAGTGAATACGATAGTCCTAATATTGTTCTTTCAGTAATTAAGTAACTTCAGACCTAAACTAGTGCTAGGATTACACGGTTACCCATTCAATGAAGATGAAGTTTCATAACTGTGTCTAGCACTGCCCTTGCTGTGGTAGCAGCAGAGCTAATAAGACTGGCTAGCAGGCATAGCTCAGCCTCTGTGTTATTGCTTCCTAAAGGCTTCAAATCTCATGTCTTAGTCCCTTGTTCTGGTCCTGCCTTGATAGAGTGATTCTTTTCCAAT